GTTGTTCAAGCAAAACTTTGCAGCACTGCCTGATTATAATCTACAGCGTAATTTCTAGCGCCATTAAAATATATTTATCTTTCTTTTCAATGGTCAGGAGAACTACATTAGAGTTGTGCTAGCAACAATTGTATTTGTGAGAAACACTGCGCCCTTTATCATAGCTTTCAGCCATAGTGTAGAGAAGGCCCAAATGAAAAACCAATCTTCCTCTTTCAACCGTATCATATTTCAACATGTTTTTCTCTCAACTGGTATCAAAAGGGAAATAATCAGCAGGTTTATTCTTATTGCTTAGTATGTAGGTAGTCTTACGCACACACAATTATTTTGGTAGCTGTTGTCGTTACAGAAATTACTGTTTGTACCACACAACTTAAGAAGACATATACAGAGCTGCAATGTAACATGTTTAAAAATGTGAAGAACAGCATATTTAAAAGCTCTTTAAAAAGGAGGTCAATTCTGACCTCTGGGCCATGAAGCAATGCATTAACAGCTCTGCAGAAAGAAAAATGATAAGGTATGAAATGAGTGCTCAGAAACTAGAACCTTATCAGGAAGAGTTTGATTCAAGCCTGTAAGACAAATTGCTCAGCAAGGCAAGTCACCTTCCTGCTGTGATGAGGATATAGCTGAATTTTCAATGCAATGACTATCTCTCCCATCATGTCTCCTCAACTTGATAGCCTTACATTCAGTGTACGGTTTACATTTTCTAAGCATCCAGCTCTTATTCTGAATACATCTTGTCAAAGTAGCCACATGCACTTCCAGGATAATTATCTTTTCCCTTTATCTGACAATTTAACATCAAGCACAACCACTTTAAAATAAGTGTAGTCGCTAACAAGAAGCCAACTGTACACTGTCTTAGTTCAGCTACATCAAAGATGTTCATACAATCAAAATAAAGAAACTAAATTCCAAAGACAAACTTGTTGGTTAGATACTTTGCTTCATGTGCTGCATGCTTCTCAAAAATCACCTCAACCACTATTCTTTATTCCTCCCCGTACTTACTTGAGCATCAGTGGACCTTTTCAGCAGTTCTTCCACAAAATTCCAATTGGATTCTACTTGTTTCTGGAAAGGAATGGTTGTCAATGTTAAATATCTATTTTTCAGAGTAGACATTATATAATATTGTAAAACATAAAAACAAGAGTACAAGAGATTTCCTGAAAATTTCCACTTCCTGAAAGCATTTTGCAATAGTTTGTTTAAAAGAGTCCCTTTGCATTTATGTATGCAATTGATATTTCCTCCAACTTTAGACTATTTGCACTCTCAAAAATAAAATTTAAAAAATGTGTCTCTATTTCTGTCTTTATAGCATAAGTGTTACTCTAACCTTGTCAGGAGATTGTATTTTATTCCTATGCATAGCTCTCAGTCACCAAAAATTAGTAAAGAAACAAAACGTTTATGCCATTTGTACATCAATCCCTCTAGTGACAGCTTCCATGTGTAATAAATCTGTATTACAGTTTCTCAAAAGTAACAAAAAGATCAGCAGCCCTCTAAAATGGAAAGGAGGGAAGCAAAGTACAGACTCATTCTTCGCTTTCTTTGCAAATCTTTCACTAACTCATTTTACTTAGGTCAAACAGCTGTTTAATGCTAATAAATGTCAGTCAGTACCAACTTGGTCCAGGATATAATCTGTTGCTTAGACAAAGTCCAGCTCAAAAGATTGTAGAGTAAATCAAACAAGGATCATAATTCATCACCTTCATGTCTGACAAGTTTGATAGTTGTTTCAAATGGGCATTCAGATCACTTCTACAAAGCAGAAGTATTGAGTGGAAAACAAAGTTTAAACTAAAGACAGTAAAGCTGTTTAAACATCTGGTTATGTAAGGTGTGGAAGAAGAGACATGTTTTTATAACCAAGAACATCTGCCAATAAAAATGTACATATAGATTTCTACCACAAACTTGATTACTTAAAGCCCTGATAATCTCTTACTTCCTTTATCTGTGCTACAATATCCACATAGAGGATCTCTGTAACCTTATTTTCCCATTACTTTTCTCCTCTCACTCCTCTGTTGAATCCTGTCTTTATCTAAATTTTAAACTCTTTGGAGCAGACGTCCTTTATACATTTGCACAGAGTCCGGCATAATGGGCCTATGATTGGGATTTCCAAATGTAATAAAAAAATAACTATCCTCTCCTGCTTCACATAACTATGGTTCAGTTCAGTGCCTATCCCAGCTAAGAGAATTTTAAATACTAATTCACGTAAAAAGATATACTGCCGTCTACTTTTCAACACTAGTACCATTTGAGAGTTTAGCAGATATCACACTTTTGCATGACAAAAAAAATATTCAAAGGAGTATGATGGAGGTGGTGGTACTGGTTCTTCACAAATTAATACTAGAGGTCAGAGGTGAAAAAAGGATGGGCCTGCAGGAGCGGAGGACAAGGACAAATGAACACAGAACAGAAAGGAACAGCAAAGAGGAAAAATACTCCCATTTTGAAAGGTAAAGGGAGATGTCATTCTGTTAGGAAGAAGAGTAGGTAAAATGGGCATATATTAAGGCAGGTGACCTGCTTAGGAATGAGGACAGTAAATTTGGTGCCTGAAGTAGAGAAGCAATAGACCTAGTAGGATATTTCTGCACTGGAACAAAGATAAGTTTAATTTTAAAGGCTTTTTATATTATATTAAATATAAATATTAATATTTTCCACTTCGTATTTGGCTCTTATATTTTAGACTCTGGTGTTATTTTGAACACCAAACAGAGAAAATTGGAAAGTAAAATTTTGGTTTTATGCACCTCGGAGTGCAAGCTAGTTGAGAATTTTCCTACAAAACAGATTTTCACCAGAAGATGCTGACTTGTCAACACTGAAATGTTTCACAGAAACATGAACTTCATGTTTCAATGAACTTCCAATAAAACACTGGCAGGGGTCCATTGCAAACCTGCCTGGTTTCCTGCCAGCTCACCTGCGGGTTGTTGCGGGGCTCAGGCTTCCAAGGACCATGGCTCCAGGGCAGCGCTGCCTCAGAATAAGGGATCCCAGGACTTCCAGGGTCCACAGCTCTTGGACACTCTACCATGCAAACTGCCCCAGGGCAGGAGATCTCCGGGCTTAAAGGCTCCCTGCTGCACAGCCAGAGAGACTGGCAGCCCTGAGTATTCCAGTTCAAGCTGGGCTTGGCTCCTGACTCCTCAGCAGGGAACCCGGAAGCCCTGATAACCCCCAGTTTAAGCCGGGGCTCTCGGGGGTCCTACTCTGGAACCTGGGAGCCCTGGCGCCCAACTGGGTGGATTGATTTAAATCGCCCATTTTAATCACGATTTCAATCAGCAAGCAGGAAAACTTGATTGAAACCATCAGTTTCAGTCATGGTTTGCATTTCTATTTTATAGTTATTTTCCTATAGAAAAGTTGATTCTCATTGACTTGTACTTGTTAAAACATCTGCAATTAAATATTAGCCTATAGAATAAATTTGGTCCTCCTTTTTGCTTACTAGGAAGATACAGTGTAGTGTATCTATACATATTTATTTAAGCAAGTATATAGCTTAATTTACACATACTCAGTTTCTTAATTTTTCATCAGGTTAGAAAATGGTCAATGATGCACTTCTTATTTACTATACTATTAATTTTGGATGGAAATTCAAAGTTAAACAAACAGCATTTGCAGAAAAGAGGCAGTTTTGACAAACTTCTCATTTTGAAACCTTTTTTTAAAAACGTTTCAGATTGTCAAAAAAGGATGTTTTGACATTTTCAAAATGAAAAAGTTCTCGTTTTCAATTCCAAATGACTTTGGTTTGAAATTTAATTGATAGTTTAAAAAAAATTAAAAAGACAAAATATAAACAACATTTTTACAAATTATTGAAATGAAATGTTTCAATTGACCTGATCCAAATTATTTGTCCGATTTTCTGTTTGCAAAAATTTGAGATTTTAAATTTTTGTCGCAATTTGGGGTAGGACATTTTTTGGAAATCTCAAAAAAAAAAAAAAAACTTTTGGGACAAGAACAATGTTTCCTGGCCAGCTCTACTGGACACTACCAAAATACAAATAATAAAAAATAACAAAGGAAGGCTCCACAGGAGAAGTAGGATTTAAGGACAATTTTGAAGGAGACAAAGGGTATGGGGTGCTTGGGAAAGTGGAGATTATCCAAAGTGTAGGATCAGTCAACGGGTGCAGTTAGGATAAAGGAGAGATGGGAAGGGTGATACAACCAGAGTATCCTCATGTTAAAGACATTTTGTCAGAGAAGGAAATTTAGGTATATTTTCTTGGGCTTCTTCCAGCCTTGTTATTAACAAGTGTCACAGTCAAAGTGAGGCAGTGAGATGAACTAAGATCTTCTCTCTCTCTAAATATCTTTCCCAGTTTGAAAACCCAAAGCATGTATTCCTCCCCTTTGGCCAAAGATTAGACACAGCTCCCTTTAGGGTCTGGAAACAATCATCATTATTTTAGGAGCTGGTCTGTGGGAGAGAGCACAGGGGTTATTCAACAGTAAATCAAGACAATTCAATTCATGAGGCAAAGGTTTGAGCACTTGATTTTTGCATGGTGGTTTAGGAAGACCTCAATGCATCTGTCCTTGAGAGCAGATTGAATATTTTAGAATCTTCTAGGAGTATTATAATTTTGACTGAACCTTTCATTACTTTAATGATTTAATAAGTAAGAAAGATTTATATTCATCTCAGGCATTACACATAAGACAGGAACACAGAATAGATACTACACTTGACCAGAGCTCAAAGAGCCGGGAAGCGAGTTACCTACAAAAACTACTATAAAAGAATATTAAGGTTACCAAGTCAAGCACTCAAAAGTTAGGAAGTCTGAGAATTAAACTTGCCCCCCTTTTGCATCTGCATCATGATAATCTTTAATTAGATTAATTACATGATCAATGTGAAGAATGTGGGAGATGCCAGAATAAAAACAAACAAACATTGTGAGTAGCTCTATTTGGATACTATCAGTTGTCTGCTTCACAGGTACAAAGCATTAATTCAGTTCTGAGGGGTTACTCCTCTGCAGGAAGGCAGAGAATTGCTAATGATTAGTGGACAATAAGTGAATCCACTGCAGGAAGTCCACCTTTGACTTTTTGACCTTAAATTCTTCCATCGACCTAGCACTGTCTGCATGGGGACTTAAGCTGGCTTAACACCACCACTCAGGAATGTGGGTGCTTCACACAGCTGACTAATCAAGTTAAACCAAAATAATTTTTTTAGTGTAGACCAGGCCTATAGCCCATATATATAGACCAGCCTATACTGGGAACTTACATCACCATAGCTACATCACTCAGGGGTGTGAAAAAGCCAACCTCACAGTGTAGACAGTGCTAGGTCAATGGAAAAATTCACCCGTCAACCTAGCTACTGCCTCTTGGCAAGGTGGATTACCTATGTCAACAGGAGAACCCCTCCCATTGGTGTAGACAATGCCAGGGATCCCCTCCCCCTTGCTGAACTCTGGGGTACATGTGGGGACCTGCATGAAAGACCCCCTAATCTTATATTCTACCAGATTAGGTTAAAACTTCCCCAAGGCATAAATTCCTTTCTTTGTCCTTGGATGGTATTGCTGCCACCACCAAGTGATTTACACAAAAATTCAGGGAAGAGTCACTTGGAATCCCTATGCTCCCCAAAATATCCCCCCAAGCACCTTCATCCCCTTTCCTGGGAGGCTTGAGAATAGTATACCAACCAACTGCCTTAGCAACATGAGCACAAACCAGACCCTTTGTCTTCAGGACACTGAAAATCAAATCAGGTTCTTAAAAGAAAAACTTCATTATAAAGAAAAAAGTAAAAGAATCACACCAGCAAAATCAGGATGGAAGGTAACTTTACAGGGTAATAAAAAGATTTAAAACACAGAGGCTCCCCCTCTAGGCTCAGCTTCACAGTTACAAAAACAGGAATAAAACTACCTCTGTAGCACAGGAAAAATTCACAAGGTAACGCATTTCCTTCCCCTACTTACAATTTCTGTGATTTTTAGAGGGATTACTCCAGGTATATTTTCAGGAGGAGTTGTACCTGTTTGGCTTGTCTCTCTGTCCGGAGAGGGAACAAACAAAGAGCAACAAAGAAATCCTCCCCCCCAGATTTGAAAGTATCTTCTTTCCGCGTTGGTCCTTCTGGTCAGATGCCAACTAGGTTATTTGAACTGTTTAACCCCTTACAAGTAAGGCAATTCAGTACAGCTGCCAAGGAGGGATTTTATGCTACTCTTTCCTCTATATTTGTGACAGTGCTACAGTGGCACAGCTGTGCCGCTATAGTGTTTAAGTGTAGACAAGCCCTTAGCATGAGGTGAATTGATTCCCCCCTGAGAGGTAAAGGCATGAGTCTGTCATTTAAAAGGTGTGCACAAGGAAAGACTGAGTAACAAGTCAAAGCTACAGTTCACCTTGGAACCATAACAATTGCATACTGTAGAACCGCAGAGTTACAGAAACCTCAGGAATGGAGGTTGTCCGTAACTCTGAAATGTTTGTAACACTGAAGAAAGCACAGTTCAGGCTCCAGATCCAGCCAGCAGCTGACACTCCAGGCCAGGCTTTAGCAGCAGTTGAACTGCCTACTGAGCCCTGGCATGATTTTGCAAACTTGTCCCCCTCCCGGTAAGGGCGTAAGGGTGGGTGTGGGTGTGAGAGAAAACAGTGTGTCCCCCTTCCAGGGATGGAGGGGGTGGGGGGGAAATCAGTGCATCCCCCTCCCGGCAGGGGCGGAGGGGCGTGTGTGTGTGTGAAGCGCTGCTCCTGCACTGCTGGCTAGCTCTGGCTGCCTTGGGCTGGTAGTCCCAGCGTCTTGCTGTAAGTGGCTGCCCCGTGCATGGGGTGGGGAGGTGGCGACAGGCAGCCCGCCCAGATGTGCCTACTTTTAAGATGCAATACAGGCACAGTACAATATTTGCTTCTTTTTTCCCCCTTCTGGTCTCTGCTGCTATATGACTGGTTGCTTCCGGTCTCACTTGGTGTCCGGTTGACCGGTCAGTCTGTAACTCTGGTGTTCACATCTTTGAGGTTCTACTGTACTATATTTTCCACAGGAATTCAGTGTACAGAATGGATGGTGCTTTCTTAATGAGCAGCTATTCATTATTTAGTTATCTCCTCACTGTTCCACATGTGGTCCCATGCCTTATTTACTGCACTATTCAAACCCAACTCTGAAGACAGAATTATTAATTATCTCATGGGCTTTTCTGTGCCACTTATCACTATGCCATCTGAGTGCTTCACAAACAAATTCAATTATTTTCACAACAACTCAGTGAGATTTGGGGAAGGAAGATATACCCATTTTACAGATGGCACAGTGAGATTAAGGTCCAAAAGGTCAAAAGTATCCAATTTGAGACACCTGGGACCTGATTTTTCAGAGTACTTAACATTATATACTACTCAATATGGTCCAAGCACAGCTCCCATTGACTTCAGCTGCGAATGATGAGCACTTTTCTGTAAATCAGAGCCCTTGGTCTCAATTGGGCACTCAGAAAGTAAGGAGTACACAATTAGCAGCCCCTTGTGAAAAGTTTAAATGACTTGCTTAACATCACACAGGAACTCTGTGGGAGAGACATGGATAGCATCCAATTCTCTAGGGCAGCATTCCACTGCCCTAACCAGGAGAACATTCTTGCTCTTCATGAAATACACTGCCTCATTCACTGCACACCTTCCGACTTTTACAACAAATGAAGCTGGGATTCTAAAGACAACCACCTCTTTTGTTTGCTTGGTTTTGTAACTTCAATGTTCCTTTAACATAATTTGTGTTTATGTAATTTCCTAGATTTTAAAAATACAATCTGAAAAAAAAAATAGAAATTCTATCATGTGGCATCATATTGACACCCATATGGTTCACCAGCAGAGTTGGAACCTTTAGAACCACTGCACAGACCTCTGCCATTTGAGGTAACTGATAGAAGATAAAAACCTACTACTGCTATTTGGACCAACATTAGACAGGCCTCTTTGTCCCAGTCTCCTTGCCCAGCCAATCCCAGTCTTCCACTGGCTGCTTGTCCCAGTCTCCCCACAATTACCAGTCCTAATTTCCCTCTCCTCCCCACTCCCTGCCTGCCAGCTTCCACTTCCAATCTCGCCCTCCAAATTCCTTATCCCAATCCATTCTACCCCATCTTCCCAACCCCTTTGCATTGGAGCCAGACGGCTTCCTCCTCCATGCTGTCTGGATTTCAGGAGAGGGGTCACTGAGAGCAGAGGAATAAAAGGCTCCCTGCTTTCAGTTCCACTCCTGCCCAAGGCAGCTGGGAGCAACCATTACAGGGAAAGTCCAATTCCACCTTTATAGCCCTGGGCTGGAGGGAGCATGCTCAGTTGCTTTGTGGGCATGCACAGTCTGATCAGCACCAGGACCATAACCAGTGGGCACAGATTCTTCAGAGATTTTAGCTGCTATAGCCTTAAAAGACTCCACTGAGCATATGCTGGCCAAATGCAGGTGGATTTTTACAGGGACAACAAAAGGCATTCTCCGAACACAAACTGCCAAATTTCAAGCCCCTGCTCCAAAGCACCAGGGCACTAGAGTTCTCCAAAGAAAAGGCTGCCAATTGTTTTGTATTATTGCAAAACAACATTTTTTCCTAGCCTCATGCTCAGAAACAGCTTAATTGTTTTAGTGAAATTTCTCAAAAAAACAAAAAAACTCATCCTGCGGCAGACATCTGGCACGGGAAATTTCAGCCCAAATGGGTAAAGTTTGGTAAAAAGTCATACATAATTGAAAACAGGATCTTCTAATGGGAAGTGTCAAGCAATCTTAATAATATGCAGTTTATTTAATAGTACAAAGCAACACTACATAACAGTTTAGAACAGGAAATTAAGAAAAATATTCATGCACTTTAAACTGCAAGGGAAATTACATAGGCAGAATGTAATTAGCCAGACTGGAATTCAGTGAGAGCACCAACATTAACACCCTTAACTCTTATGACAAGTGGCATTAACGACTGAGTGCAGTCAATGCTTCAGCTTTACACCTCATTTAAAGAATAGAAAACCTACATGACGCTAGCATCCAATGCAGATAATCATTCTAATATGTTCGGTTATTGAAGCAGTGAACTCAATGAAGCAATTATGCTGAAGGCAGACAGTCTTAAAACATATGCTACAGCAATAAGTACATGAACTGCTAACTAGCAGGACTTTCTAGTCCCCTTACTTGGTTTACTGACTGAATCTGTTTTTTAGATCCATATGCTCAGGGCTCATGGAATAGATTGTAAACAGTACACTTTAAAATCATGAACCTTTAAAGGAACTTTGTAATGTAGACATCAAAAATTACTGTAATGTTACTACCCCACCACCAAATACCTGTATGAGATTACAGGTCTAAATAAAATGTTAAAATATTAGAAAATACAAACCTACCTTTTCCTCTACATTTCCGTTACGGTCAAACTGGTAAAGTGATGCCAGATGAGTAATAATCCACCAGCTAAAACTTAATGGATCTTTGCACTGCACTGGCTCAGAAACAGACATCCCTTCTGCAGTACTGGGTCTTTCAAAGACCTTCTTTAGTAGTTTATTCACCCAGCTCCAAAAAGACTGCAGAGAACAGAGAGAGCCAACCAGAGCTGTGTTAAATGACTTTGTAGAGTAGATTAAATAATAACCTAAGTCTATGTTAAAGGGATTCCTCTCAATACTATCCTGTTTACTTCTTAAGATTGTGCTTTTGGTATTAAAGGAAAAAACAAGCTGATAGTCGTGAAAAAAATACTGAATAACAAAGTTAAGTGGCACCAGGGAAAACCTAGAGCCATTTTAGGATTTTATTCTTCAGAAGGCAAATGGAAAACAAGGGCAGTAAAAGGATGTCCATTGGTCATCCTGGGAGAACATTCCCCTAGAATTTTTACAGGCTAGCTCAAAAGCACATAGAGCAGGGGTCTAGAAGATGGTGTATTCTATCATCCTCAAAAGAATCAAGAAAACAGAATCATCTTGCACTGGTGTAGACTGTAGTTGACCTCTCTAACAAAAGAAAACCTGAACTATTTAACTCTCATAGTGAAAAACAGTTTATGAAAATATTCTTTAAAAAAAAAAGTGTCTCAGAATATACAAAATATATCAAATGGAACAGGAACTTTAGACACAACCTAGTTCTCAAAATGGGTAACAGTTTACCTGCACCTCATATAGCAGATAAATAATTATATGAAATATTAGCTAGGGAGAGATCCAGTAAGAGAGAACAAGGCCTACACATTTATTTATTTAAATTAAAGGAGCTAGCCTGACATTTTTATATTTATTATGATCTTGTGTTAAAGGCACTGGATGGGGACTCAGATCTTTTTATAGTCTCCAGCTCTGCCACAGCCCAGCACAATGGGAACGAAGGATTGTCCAGTGGTTAGCACATTAGCCTGAGAAGTGGAAATCTCACATTCAATTTCTTGTTCCATCACAGACTTCCTTTGTGACCTTGGGCAAGACACTTAATCATAGAACTATAGGGCTGGCAGGGACCTCAAGAAGTCATCAAGACAAGCCTACTGAGCTGAGGCCATAGCAAGTAAGCTTAGACCATCCCTGACAGGTGTTTGTCTAACCCATTCTTAAAACCTCTAGTGATGGAGATTCAACAACTTTCCTTGGAAGCCTATTCCAGAGCTTTACTGCCCTTATAGTTAGAAACTTTTCCTAATATCTGACCTAAATCTCCCTTGCTGCAGATTAAGCCCATTACTTCTTGTCCTACCTTTAGTAGACATGGAGAATAATTGATCATTGTCCTCTATTATTTGAAGACTTATCAGGTCCCCCCATCTTCTTTTCTCAAAACTAAACTTGCCCTAGGTTTTTTTTTTTACCTTTCCTCATACAGGGTAGGTCAGGTTTTCTAAACCTTTTATCACTTTCGTTGCTCTCCTCTGGACGCTCTCCAATTTGTACACATCTTTTCTAAAGTGGGGCACTCACAACTGGGCATAGTACTCCAGCTGAGCCTCACCAGTGTTGAGTAAAGTGGGACAATTACCTCTCTTGTCTTAAATACAACACTCCTTTTAATATACCCCAGAATGATATTCGCCTTTTTCGTAACTGCAACACATTGATGACTCATACCCAATTTGTGATCCACTATAACCCCCAGCTGGCCAGTAATTCTCTATTTTGTAGTTGTGCATTTGATTTTTCCTTTCTAAGTGAAGTAATTTTTACTTGTCTTGACTGAATTACAGTTTGCTGAATTCATACCCATTTGTCAAGGTCATTTTGAATTCTTATTCTGTACTCTAAAGTGCTTGCAAACCCTGCCAGCTTGGTGTCATCCTCAAATATTAAGAATACTCTCCATTCCTTTACCCAAATCATGCACATGTACCATTTCTAAAAATGTGAACAACACTCCTCTGTTCAACCACCTTTTGTCTGTCTTGTCTAATTAGATTATAAGATCTTCAGGGCATAGACTTTGTTATGCTCAGCATTTGTACAGCACCTAGCACAATGGCACTCTGATTCTGACTGACTTGTAGATGCTACTGTAGCACAAATAATTAACAAAAAAAAAATTTCACCAGAGACTTTTTTGTCTGCTCACATTAAAAAGTCTGAATACTCTACCATGAAGCTGTTTGATGATATACAGACTAAATATGCATTACTGCAGTGCACAAACCCATTTGAAAGATGAACAGCGCTTTGGATTTTTATGAAGATTGGCAGCTTTCAAAAGAGTTTTTCTAGTAATAAATATTCAGGGAAAGATTGTAGCTGGGCCTTGCCAGGCAAACCTAATGGTGGGTGGGGGGTGGGGGGGTGGGGTGGGGGTGGGTGTGTGCGCGCACACGCGTGCCACTTATGCAAGGACTACCTCCCTTCTCTTGTGGTTCCCCTCCCACCTCAATACAGAGTAACAGCCTCTATTGCCTTGCTTTTCTGAAAACAGGGACTGCTCCCTATCAGTGCCCTGGGCCACAAGAAAGCTACCAGTGACAAAGCTCGAACCAGGACACAATGAACTCTCAAGCATGGGGGCTAAGTTGGCATAGCTGACACATTTGTCTCTTGTATGTCAGGGAGCATAATCTCTCTTAAAGCTCCTGATAGGGCAGTGCAACTCTGCATCACGTTGGATGTGAACTAGTGCATTCATGGCACAATCTGGTGCTTAATTTGGTAATTGACCAATCACTATTTGAATATTTTGGATATAAACACTTTCTTATATTTTCCTCATGCTGTTCATGCAGCAATGTTCCCACTTACCTCTGTATGAGACCCTTTATTTCTGTGGTCCAACAGATGAATAAGCAGAACCCATAATTCCTTAATGCAGCTACAGGGGTAGTGGTGACTAGTTAGAGCCTCCGATGGTCTAACCTGGTGAAGAAAATATGAAGTCCATTCACTCACAGAGTAGCAGGGTATTTGAAGTTGCATTTTACATACTAATATTTCCATTCTTTGTTGCAACAATTTAGAATTTATACACAATTACAGAGGATTCTTGTGAAGCACAATGCACTATTCCATTAACATCTAAAATAAATCAAGCACACAGCAAAGGAACCATTATCTACCAATGTACAGTAGAAGCAGCATTACTTTTAAGCTTTTACTGAACCAGTTTCAAATGATTTTTCAAAAAATATTTAATAAGTGAAAGGGATGATCTAAGTACTAATGAAAAGAAACAGCACTAAATACCAATTCATTGTCTACTAGTGAAAGAGAGAGAAAATGATTGATTAGATTCACTTGATGTTCCTGGGAAGAGAAGAAAAAGCTTCCAAATGATTTAATATTTATTATTTTTAACATGCAAATCCCTTAATGGTTATGTGTAATGCTAACAGAATAGAATTTGTTCATGTGAAGATAGTTTTAATTCATGGGAGTATGTTAAAATGCCTCAATGTCCCTACAATATTTCACATAGCAGCATTTTGGTAGTCCTGCGGTAAGACATTATTTTAACATGCTCCAAAGAGCACATTTTGAGTCGTGTGTGTTATCTGATCATTACTTGTTGTTTAAAGAAATTCTCTTCTGACTGATGTTTAATATGTAAAGCAGTCTTGTGGTGAGTTACCTTTCAGTTTCTCACACTCTGAATAGAGAAACAGAGATGTGTGTGTGCACCTAGAGCGGAATCCACAGTGACAACATATCAAAGAAGAATGTGAGATTACTCTACTGGCTGGTATATACAGCAATTAGACTTCCTAGTTTAGATCTGCTAATGATAGGAGGTTGTGAAGAAAAGTCAGCGCACCAATCTTTAAAAAAATAAAATAAAGAGGTTACACAAAAAGGGTACATTACACTGCAGCTTGGAGCATGCTGCTCGGGTATAGAGAAAAGCACTAGCTCTGATCAACTAGTGCGATAAAAATAGCAGTGTAGCTGGGGTAACATGAGCTAGCTGCCTAAGTACACATCCAAAAGGTCCGGGCCAGTTTGTACTCAGGTGGCAAGTGTGAGCTGCTGCTCCTGCTACCTTGGCTATACTGCTATTTTTAGCATACTAACTTGAACACAACTAGTGTTTGTTTGTCTACCCAAAGTTTCCCTTGACAAACGTAAAGAAGCTGTAACGGAAAGCTGAAGTTGTTGAAATAGGAGTGGTGTAAATATAAACTGTAATATGACATTGTAAATAAGTGCCTAGTTAGCTTACTGCCAAGGTTTTAGTCACTCTCTTTTTGTTCCTTTTGAGAGAGTTTGGAAAGATATTTTCTGCATCTATAGCTCATGTTTGGCATGAAACCCAGCACACTGAACTTATTAAATGTGGCACACACTTCAGTTCTGTACACAGTGCATTTCAAAATTACTCTCCCAATCAATTGCCAGATGGTCATGAATAAATACAACACAGTATGAGTTTCTAACAAATAACACTCTTTAAAAATTGGGAATATTAAACCAAAGGCAAAATTTTAAAACACCAATAACAGGGGACTATGTTTTCCTATGCATCTGTACAGCACCTAGCACAAAGCAGCCCTGATTGTGATTGGGGCTTTCAGATGCTTTCTGCATAAAAGAAATAAAATAATAATACCTTGGTATATTTGTTGATTGACAAGCTTATCAAATCACAGAAGAGGTTTCCACAGTGTGCTTCAAATAAACTGATATTGGTTAAATTTTCTCCGGTTAGGTTCATGAATTGGTGAGCGTACACAATTTGTCCTAAAACACAACAAAAGATCAGATCTCCTTAATACTTGGGCTTGATTCTATGGAAACAAAGACAACAATTTCTATTCACTGTATTTGCGTCAACAAGCAATTCTGAGAGGAGTATCATTTTTGCTTACAAGCAGAAAAATTACTTGAGGAAAGCTTTCCCATTCCAAATTAATCCTGTCGTCTTCTCCATTTCATAAAAGTTTGATATTATTCTGATTGACAATAGAATGGTTGGCATTATATAGTTACTTTGCTGGCATAATCCCTGCAGTCACTACATTGCAGTAAAGGTTTCTTCATTTGCAAATTCTTCTCAGTAACAAATGCCTCTGTGTGACAAATCTGAGGAACCGTCCCAGATTGAGGTGTCATTACAGAAGGTTTAGGAACAAACTGATAAATTGTACAGTAATAACTCACCAGGACCAGATGGTATTCACCCAAGAGTTCTGAAGTTACTCAAATATGAAATTGAGGAACTATTAACTGTGGTATGTAACCTATTTCTTAAATCATCTTCTATACCAGACGACTGGAGGATAACTAACGTGACGCCGATTTTTTAAAAAGGCTCCAGAGGCTATCCCGGCAATTACAGGTCAGTAAGCCTAACTTCAGTACCAGGTAAACTGGTTGAAACAAAAGTAAAGAACAGAATTATCAGACATATAGATGAACACGATTTGCTGGGAAAGAGTCAAGATGGCTTTTTGTGAAGGGAAATCATGCCTCACCTCTCTATTAGAATTCTTTGAGGGGGTCAACAAACATGTGATCCAATCAATAAAGTGTTCTTAGACTTTCAGAAAGCCTTTGACAAAGTCCCTCATCAAAGGCTCTTAAGCAGAGTAAGCTTCATGGGATAAGAGGGAAGGTCTTCTCATGGATCAGTAATAAGTTAAAAGATAGGAAACAAAGAGTAGCAATAAATGGCCAGTTTTCACAATAGAGAGAGGTAAATAGTGGTGTCCTCCAGGGGTCTGTCCTGGGACTACTATTGTTCAACATATCCATAAATGAACTGGGAAAACAAACAGTGAGGTGGCAAAATTTGCAGATGATACAAAACTAATCAAGATAGTTAAGTCCCAGGCAGACTGCAAAGAGCTACAAAATAATAATAATTATAATAATTAATGGAGATATCCCATCTCCTAGAACTGGAAAGGACCTTGACAGGTCACCGAGTCCAGCCCCCTGCCTTCACTAGCAGGACCAAGTACTTATTTTGCCCCAGATCCCCAAGTGGCCCCCTCAAGGATTGAACTCACAACCCTGGGTTTAGCAGGCCAATGCTCAAGCCACTGAGCTATCCCTCCCCCAAAAGGATCTCTCAAAACTGAGTGAGTGGGCAACAAAATGGCAAATGAAATTCAATGTTGATAAATGCGAAGTAATGCATATTGGAAACATAATCCCAACTATACGTACAAAATGATGGGGTCTAAATTAGCTGTCAAGAAAGATCTTGGAGTCATTGTGGATAGTTCTCTGAAAACATCCGCTCAATGTGCATTGACAGTCAAAAAAGTTAACAGAATGTTGGGGATCATTAAGAAATGGATAGATAATATGACAGAAAATATCATATTACCTCTATATAAATCCATGGTACGCCCACATCCTGAATACTGCGAGCAGATGTGGTCGCCCCATCTCAAAAAAGATATATTGGAATTGGAAAAGGTACAGAGATGGGCATCAAAAATTATTAGGTGTATGGAACAGCTTCCATAAGAGGAGAGGTTAAAAAGACTGGGACTTTTCAGTTTGGAAAAGAGACAACTAAGAAGGGATAGGACAGATGTCTTGACTGGTGTGGAGAAAATGAATAAGGAAATGTTATTTAGTCGCTCACATAACACAAGAACTAGAGGTCACCCAGTGAAATTAATAGACAGCAGGTTTAAAACAAACAAAAGGAAGTACAGTAACTCCTTGCTTAACGTTGTAGATTTGTTCATGAAAAATGCGACTTTATGCGAAACCATGTTAAGTGAATCCAATTTCCCCAAAAGAATTAATGTAAATGGGAGGGGGGGTAGGTTCCAGGGAAAAAATTTTTGCCAGACAAAAAACATTATATGCATATACAGTATAAGTTTTAAACAATTTTAAACGAACAGTTTAATATTGTACACAGCATTGAATGATTGTGAAGCTTGGTTGAGGTGGTGGAGTAAGAGGGTGAAATATTTCCCAGGGAATGCTGTGCTGCTAAATGATGAACTAGCATTTGGCTGAGCCCTCAAGGGTTAATACGCTGTTGTTAATGTAGCCTCACACTCTACAAGGCAGCATGGAGGAAGGAAACACAATAGATGCAGGGCAGTAGTTGCAAACACTTCCCTGCAAAAACTGAACATGATGATGAGCCCACGCTATCCAGCTGGAGCGCACCACTCCCTCCTCCTGACAGCACATGCACGGGTGCAGAGGCTGAATTTCGAAAGTGCTGGGGGGTGCATGCATGAGTGAGGCTAGGTCTACACTACCCGCCTGAATCGGCGGGTAGAAATCGATCTCTCGGGGATTGAATTATCATGTCTCGTCGGGACACGACAATCAATCCCCGAATCGACGCGCTTACTCCACCAGCGGAGGTAGGAGTAAGCGCCGTCGACGGGGAGCCGCGGAGGTCGATTTTGCCGCCGTCCTCACAGCAGGGTAAGTCGGCTCCGATATGTCGAATTCAGCTATGCTATTCGCATAGCTGAATTTGTGTATCTTAAATCAACCCCCCCCCCCCCATAGTGAAGACCTGTCCTGAGAGAGACGTGCATTTCCCCTTTAAGGTCACTGACCCCACTTCAAGTATGTTGCCCTTTTAAGCAGATGAGCCAGTTCAAACAGGAAGCAACAGCTTCCAGCAAGCTCCCCCCTACACCTTCTGTCCCCTCCTCCGCTTTGTGGAGAGGGGGTACAGAGCGGGGGAGGAGGGGCAGGAGCAGGGGGACATCCTGATATCAACACCCCTCTCCCCCTCCTCCCCCAGCAAGCAGGAAAAAGTTAACAGAATTATTAGGTATATGGAACAGTTTCCATAAGAGGAGAGGTTAAAAAGATGGGGAGCAGCTCAAAGGCAGAGGGCAAGGCAGGAGCAGCACGGCAGTGGGGGGAGGGACAGCTGAACTGCTGCTGGGCAGCTGCCGAGCTCATTTAGGTGAGCTGATGGCCCCCCTTGGTTCTAATCCCCACAAGGAGGGGCTGCTCTTCCAGAGAATCCTGCAAGCAGTGGACAAAGCAGGCAGCTGCCAAACGACGTTATAAGGGAGCATTGCACAACTTTAAACGAGCTTGTTCCCTAATAGATCAGCAACGTAACAACAAAACAACGTTAACCGGGACAATGTTAAGTGAGGAGTTAATCACACCAGTTTCAATTATTTTGGGTCATTTATTTCAAAATACCAGTCAGCAAGTTTGTCTGTAACAAGACAGACAACAAAAAAGACTCAGAAAATGTCTTTTTTTTTTTTGGTACAAATAGATTCCTTACTAGGCATATTAATACAGGACTCTGAGTAATAATTCCTTTAAACTACAATACAGAACCGTATTTCCCACGCCCATCAGAAACAGTGCAAAGACTTGGGGGGATTCTGGGATAACAGAGGAGCTGAGGGAGATGGAGGTAAATTGCTGGGAAGAAACCTGGGTGTGAACTTGGAGGGTTGTTGGGTATGGGTGGGAAAAGTATGGAACAGGTTTTTTTGCGGGGCAGGGAGGGATTGTTAGGGAGTTTTCCCCATGCAGACCCCTAGCCTCTCCCATTCAGTCAGGCACATCTGCCCATCCCCATGTGTCCCTCCACCCCCACTCGGACACCCACTCCCCCCATCCCTATGTGGCCCTGCATCCCTCCCCCATCCCCATGTGGCTCTGTGCCCCCACTCAGCCACTCCCCTGTCTGTGTCCCTGTACCCTCCTGCCTGTCCCCATTTGTCTCTGTGTGCCTCCACCCAGCCACCCTCTGTCTCTATGTAGCTCTACACCCCCTCCATCACCATGTGGCCCTGCACCTCCCCCATGGTCCTTTGTCTCCACTCCCATTCAGCCCCAACCCCAGTCTATCCTCCTGCACTAGCCCTTATGAGCCCCTGTCTGACACTCTCCCCTCCCCCCAGCACCCCATGCTGTCTGTCAACCCATAGCCCCTATCTCCTGACCTGGCCTGACAGGCACTACAAAGAAGGCACTACAGGCTCGCTCTCTTCCCTTGCTGGCTGGGAGCTGCTGCTGTTCTTGCGCCACTTCGCCCTCTGGTGGGCACAAGGCAGAACTGCAGCAACATTTCAGCAGAAGCTTTTTTCTGCGCAAAAAATTAAAATATGTATGGCTCATTAATTATGCATGTGCACAGTAGTGCAGAATTCGCACAGGAATACAAGATTTTTTTTGGATACGGAATCCATAACTAAACTGCTGAACAAAATCAAAGATGAATATTTTGGAGGACTCACAACACTGTGGATAAGTGACCAAGCATGAGTACTGCTCTTAGTGACATAATGAGGCATTTTGTTATTAATTTAAATAGCAGCTGCATTGGGTCTCAAGTAACTGAGCAATCAAGTGTCTAAAATTTTTTGTACACATGAAAAAAAACAAAAGCAAGTGATATAAATGTTTAGAAATTCATTGCTTGAGGGCAGCTAATATCAAAGTTACGCTTATTGAATACAAGTGAACCTATACTTTATAACTGTTTTTGCTGAAAACTCTTTATTATGCAATATCCTACTATAATATATTTTGTACAATTATATAATGTATTAGCTATGGGCGAAATTCTGCCACCTTTTCTCATGTTGATCAACACCTTATTGGGTCCTATTTAGGTCAAGATGAATTTCAGCTGAAAGGTCAATGGGATCCCACATGGAGTAAGATTTTACTCAACGTGAGTAAAGGTGGCAGAATCTGCCCCTTATATGTTTTAGTATATTTTTCTTATGGGAAGTTGTGGAGATTAGTTAACGTAAAGTGCTATATGAATGTCAAATATATTTATTATTACTCCAACTTGTACGTGGCAGTTAAATGTTACTGTAGTTCTTGGACAAGTATATATCTGCCTTTCCATAATACTGTATTATGAATGGAAACTTAAAAGGAAGTCTTGTTGGCCTCCTTCACTCCACCCCAACAACAGCAAATGAATTACTAAAAGAGGAGCTGGCTCTCATATACCTCAATGTCTAGATTACTACAATTTTTGTAATTCACATATGTACCAGTATTGGACCATTATTTAGAAGCTCTATACTAAAGTGGATTTCAATGCAATGTGACACAACACTTATAGAAAGGGGAAAGAAATAGTACTCTAGAATTATTTTTTGTGCTTGACTTGGCTGACATACAAATGAACAATACATAAATAATCCTCACAATGCAACTCATATTGCCCTCCTTCGTATTTCAACCATTTTTCTCTAGCAAGCTGAATTGCTTTGAAGCTGTTCTCCTCGACTGCATTCCCTGACCTTTTACTTTAGTTGCTACCATAAACAGCTTACTAGTTTCAGTGTACTCCTTGCCCTGTAAAGCCACTAAACCCCCCCCCCACACACATATTGGTTTGCCCTTTTCTCACTATATTTTCACACATTCCTTTGGCGAAGGTCTCTCTCTTCTCCCAATACCTCCTCAGTGGTCGCCTGTGCACAAAAATGTGGATTTTTTTTTTTAATCAATCACAAAATCTCCTCAAGAATTCTCATAAATGAAGCACAGACATGTTGCTTGGAACTGATGAGGAAGTGTCCTCTTTTAAAATCACGGCCTCAACATAACATATGGTCTTGACCATTCTCTTCAAATCTGTATCAGCCATCCCTGGATACCCTTTCCACCCCGTTCACATCAAATTATTGTGTGCTGTTCATCATCTTTTGATTTTTTGCAAGCAACATTCAGAAGTGTATTTTTTTAAATTAAACTTGAGTCATTTGAAGTTTCAAGAGAAAATAATTTGATGGCTCAGTCTAATCCCAGTAGCACAAATCCACAATACAATTTGATGTAATTGTCAACCTTCATTAGGACAGGATCAACCCCGGATTAGTAACTGTACTGTACATCCAGATTGAGATGCACTAGCCAAAGCATGTGGGAAAACTTGGAAATAACCTGCCCTCACCACTCTTGATTTTAGCCAATGTATCTAATAGCAATTAAAAAGAAAAAAAAATAAAGTAAATGCAGAAACTAATCCCCAAAGAAAGTAAAATAATTTGGACAACTTCAGATCAGAAACATATATAACCGGGGCGGGGGGCGGAAACTAAATCACTAAAAATATGCAAAGCACAAACATGCACCATAAACAGATGGACTTACGCAGCATCTTCTCGCCTAGGACATGAAGAATTTCCAGCACTAGCCAATGGATATCCAAGTGGAGATGCAGTAAATGCCACGATGGAGGAAACAGCTGTGATAAAAGACAATTTTTTTTTTCTAATTTCATATTTACTAAGCAAAGCCTGGATCCTATCCTAAGAACCACGAGGACAGGCAGACTCCTATGACCATGTGGAGTCCCACTGATGGCAAGTATCACATTAAATAATACGTTCCAAAGTGAAAGAGAAAATGTTCTTCCTCACACACTTACTCTTCTGTTTAGAGCAGGTTCACAAAATCTTTAATCTAACCCACAATCCAACTAACCAAAACATCTTAGTTCAAGGTGAACAGGTGAAGCACCATCAAATCCCTATGTGCCCTTCTAGCACACACATTATTAGACAGCAGAGAACTGGTAAATGGACCATAATAAGGATCAACTTTTTTATTCAGAGCCCTAACCATTTTAACTTCTGAGACCTCAGAGCTACTCAAAGTGTAACGCATCCATCCCTAGAGACAGAGAACATCAGTTCTTCATCAGTCCTTGACCCAAACAGACTGAATGGCAGGAATCAAAATGTCACTCCTTACCATAGGTATTTTCCTTCATCGTAATGATTTGCATAGCGCTCTAATCATGGAATCCCTTTTAAACAAAATAAAATAAAAATATTCCCTACCCCAAATGGAAAAATCTTACAACTGTATACTGCTCTAGTCTATTAAATGTTCATAGAATATCAGGGTTGGAAGGGTCCTCAGGAGGTCATCTAGTCCAACCCCCTGCTCAAAGCAGGACCAATCTCCAGACAGATTTTTGCCCCAAATCGCCCCCTCAAGGATTAAACTCAAAACCCTGGGTTTAGCAGGCCAATGCTCAAACCACTGAACTATCCCTCCCCCCAAAAAGGGAAATGGAGTTATTGCAGTTTTCTCCTGCACAAAGATGCTCTTTTCCTGTTTTAGACAAGTTTCAGAATTTGTCTTTATAAAAGTGCCTCTTCTAGTTGGGAACTCGAGAGTTCTCATTGTCATCATGGATAAACACAATTAATTTTTGAAAAACAAATAATAGCACTATGACAAGCCGATTGATCAAGCCTATTTATTCACCTCTAAATATAAATTACATTTTATTTGCATAATGCCAATAAGGATTCTAAAAGGGAAATATTGTACAAAGAAAATGCAAGGTCTAATACACCCAATGTCAAAAAATAACTGTTTGAGCAATATAGGATGACACTTAACTAATAAGTGCATGAGATGCATTCCCATTTTTTAAATAAAACTAACTTTTATTCATCATAATTTGTAAGAGTCAAATCTGGACTGTGGTATGATGTATTAAAAAGATAAGCCAAACCTTTGCCTGATGTTGAATGGTAAATGCTCCCAGGATACTACTTGGGAGTTCATACAGATGTCCAATATGTAAGGTCAAGGCATGAAGCTCCTCAACCAGCACTGAAGGGAGCTGGACTTCCAGTTCTTCATATGGATGAAGTAGCCCGTCATCCTCTGTTTTGTGTGATTCCAGGTATCTGAATGAACAGCACATCAATATATAATTAAAGGGTGCATAACAGATGGTTATTCAAAACTAATTACACACAATAAGTTAACTAGTTATTGAAATTGTGTATGTCATCTCACCTGAAGATGAACACCTTCACATAATGCAGAAATGCAATACACTGATGTCTGATGTTGCCTGCTTCAGAGTGTAGATTTGCAGCCTGACCTGAAAACAGAAAATTAACGAGTCAGAGGCATAAATCACTTCTTTCAAAAGAAATCTTTATAATACTAATGACACTGTAGTGATAAAAATATTTCACAATAAGTTCTAAGAGCAATTCTGTTTAAACAATATCGTTCAACTGTAAATAAAATGTTATATTACAATTTTTCCCTGCTAAGTATCCTCCACACAAACTATCACAAAACACGGTCCAGTTAAAGGTAAAAAGAAAGAGAAAATGCCATACATAGTTCAGTACAGTGGGAATCATTCACATTATCTTCACTTGTTTTCCCTGACACAGTAGATTAAAAAACAGAAAAGCACAACTTTAGAATCTGTGAAGATGTAAGCAAGCATTGTTATGGATTAGTTTTAATAAGAAGAGATGGAAGAATGGAAAAACACCATCATCAGACAAATTCCTAGGTACACTATGAGGTGGGCTGTAGTCCACGAAAGCTTATGCTCTAATAAATTTGTTAGTCTCTAAGGTGCCACAAGTACTCCTGTTCTTTTTGCGGATACAGACTAACACGGCTGCTACTCTGAAATATGTGGACACTGAAGCCCAAAAGCATTTTTAAAAGCTACATTGCAGCTGCATGGGACAGGGAGGGAGGGATAAGGTTTTGGCAGCACAGCAGAGACCACATTTACAAGAACTTCACATGATACTAGTAAAATATTTCTGGGAAATTTACACTAACAGATACAAAAATTTGGAAGAACTGGCACATACTGCAGGTTATTAAAATGTCCAGACTGACATATAAAGAAAGAGAAGTACTAGCTGGTCCAATAACAGAGAAGAAACAGATAATTTCATCATTAAAATCAGGGAAGAGTCCTGTATCTGATGGAGACACCTCTGAATTCTATAAAATGTTTAAAACACGATAACACCCTTGTTACTAAGTGCATTTCCATCTTCTGAACTGATTCACCAAAACCAAGCTGGCTTTATAGATGGAAGAAGTCCCTGAAATAATATAAAAAACGGTTACCTGCCTTTTTGTAACTGTTGTTCTTCGAGATGTTACTCATGTCCATTCCATTTCAGGTGTGTGCGCCCCCACGTACACAGTTGGTGGAGATTTTTCTCTTAGCGGTATCTGTAGGGTCGGCTGTGGTGCCCCCTTTGAGTGCTGCGCTCATGCGTAGGTGTATTAGGCGCCACCGACCCTACACCCTCTCACTTCCTTCTTGCCGGCAACTCTGACAGAGGGGTAAGGAGGGTAGGTAATGGAATGGACATGAGCAACACATCGCGAAGAACAACAATTATGAAAGGTAGGTAACCATTTTTTCTTCTTCAAGTGCTTGCTCATGTAGATTCCATTCTAGGTGACTCACACGCAGTGTATGTGAAGGTGAGTTCGGAGTTCACAGTCTGGCGGTTGATAGTACTGAAGTACCCTACTGAAGCCAGTGTCGTCCTTGTTCCTGCTGGGTAAGCGTGTAGTGGGACGAGGACGTATGACCAAGCGGCCATCCTGCAGATGTTACGGATAGGCACTTGGGCCAGAAAGGCTGCCGAAGACGCCTGGTCGAGTGGGCAGTTACAATCACCGGGTGTTCCACAATAAGGGTCGCCTGATCATGGCAGAAGCGAATGCAGGCGGTGATCCAAGATGAACACTGGGCAACCTTTCATCCTGTCGGCTACCGCGATGAACAACTGTGTCGACTTGTGGAATGGCTTGGTCCTTTCAATGTAGAAGGCTAATGCCCTCCTGACATCTAGGAAATACAGCTTATGCTCCTCCTCCAATTTATGCGGCTTTGGAAAGAAGACAGGTAAGAAAATGTCCTGGCTTGTATGAATCTGGGAGACCATCTTGGGCAGGAAAGCCGGGCGTGGTCTCAGCTGGACCTTGGTTCCGAGGTGAGCGCCCTAATCTCTGAGACCGGATGGGCAGATGTTACTGCGACCAGGAATACAATCTTCCAGGACAGGAGAAGAAGAGAGCAGGAAGCCAAAGGCTTGAAGGGGGTCCCGTGAGCCACGACAGCACCAGGTTCAGGTCCCACAGAGGAACGTGCAGGTAGAGGCGCTCAAGGCCCTTGAGGAATCTGCTCCTGCTCATTTAACCATGCAGCAGCCTAGCTGTTAGGTGCAGCACCTGCAGGTTCGTATGCAGAAGACTGCCATGGTTTTGGGACAGCAGGTCCGGCTGGAGTGGTAGCTGGAATGGAGCGGCCACTGAGAGGTCCAGCGGCTGCGCTAGCAGTGGTTCAGCATGCTAAGCCAGCGCTACAAGGATCACCCTTGCCCTGTCCTACTTGATTTTCATGAGGACCCTGGAGAAACGGCACCGGAGGGAAGGCATACTTCAGAGCCCCCAACCATGGGAACAAAAAGGCGTCAGACAGGGGTCCTCTGTCCATACCCCGCATTGCACAGAGAACGTGGCATTTCTTGTTCTGCCTGGACACAAACAAGTCCACCAGGGGAGTTCCCCACTTGCGGAAGATGAAGCTGACCACATCCGGATGGAAGGACCACTCATGGCGAGGCAAGAAGGTCATGCTGAGGTGATCTGCAAAGGCATTCTTGGCCCCAGAGAGGTGAGTGGCTCCAAGATGGATATCGTGCTACAGACAGAAGTCCCAGAGCCGGAGGGCTTCTTGGCAGAGAGCAAACAATCTGGCAGAGAGCAAACAATCTGGCAGTGCCCTGCTTTTTTCTTCTTCGGGTGCTTGCTCATGTTGATTCCATTCTAGGTGACTCACAAGCAGTGTCCAAGAAGGGGGGCTCGGAGTTCACAGTCTTGCAGCTTCCGGCATTGCTCTGCCAAAACTAGCGTCATCTCGAGCTTGCTGGGCAAGTGCATAATGAGACACGAACGTGTGGACGGACGACCAGGTAGTGGCCCTACAGATCTCTTGGATTGGTACCTGTGCTAGGAAGCCCACTGATGACGCTTGAGCCCTAGTCGAGTGTTCTCTGAGCAGACACTGGGCAACCTTTCATTCTGTCTGCCACTGCAACAAACACCTGCGTTGAATTATGGAATAGCTTCATTCTACCTATGCCAGCGCCCTTCTGATGTCCAGGGTGTGTTGCCTGCACTCCTTATCTGACGTAGGAAGCTTTGGAAAGAAGACAGGTAAATATATGTCCTGGCCAGTCTGAAATCGGGAAATGACCTTGGACAGAAATGCTGGGTGCAGTTGCAACTGGACCTTAGCCTTGTAGAAGACCGTATAGGGCTTTCTGAAGTAAGCGCCCTGATCTCGGACACCCTGCAAGCCAACGTTATTGCAACCAGGAACAAAACCTTCCAGGAGAGAAGCAGGAGAGAGCAGGAAGTCAGAGGCTCAAGGGGCCTCAACAGCACGAGAGTTACATCCCAGGAAGGCACGGGATCCGAGACGTGCAAATAGAGATGCTCCAGACCTTTCAAAAACTGTGCCATCATGTGGTCAGTGAAGATTGACCTGCCTTGGAGCGGAGGATGAAAGCCGAGATCGCGGCCAGGTGGACCTTGATCGATGACAGGGACAAACTCTGGAGTTTGAGCTGCAGCAGATAATCCAGGATCTCCTGCAGTGGGGCCTACTCGGCCTGGATACGCTGTTCTGAGGCCCGGCCCATGAACCTTTTCCATTTGGCCAGGTAAGTCACTCTGGTGGAGGATTTCCTGCTACCCAACAAGACCTGCTGAACATGGGGCGAATATGCCCATTCGTCCATGCTTAGCCATGCAGTAGCTGAGCCATCAAGTGCAGCACCGTCAGGTTCAGGTGCAAAATGCTACCGTGGTTCTGAGACAGCAGATCCGGCCAGTGGGGTAGCTGCAGTGGGGCGGCTACTGAAAGGCTCAGCAACATGCCGAACCAGTGTTGGCGAGGCCACATGGGGGATATTAGGATAACTCTCGCCCAGTCTTGCTTGTTCTTCATAAGGACCCTGTGAATCAATGGCACTGGCAGGAAGGCATACATCAGCGCCAACAACCATGGAATGAGAAAAGTGTCTGATAGGGAGCTCCTGTCTATTTCCCAGATCTAACAGAACACGTGACATTTTCTGTTCTGCCTGGACGTGAACAGGTCTACCTGGGGAGTCCTCCACCTCTGGAAAATTATGCTGACCACCTCCAGATGGAGCGACCACAACTGAACAGGGGATAGATCCCACTCTAGAGAGCACAGAGATGGGTGTTTTAGAGGGGGGCCCATCAAAGGAAGTTGAGAAGCAATTTGGGGGAGTACAGGAATATCTCCTCACTGATTAAAGGGAAGGGTTTGCCCAGAACAGCTGTTCCAGCATCTGTGTGTAAAGCTGCAGCTGGGTGTGTCCCTAACTGTATGTGTGCTGGTAAAGTACAGTCTGAAGCCCGAGTGAAGGCTTCCCTCAGCAATACAGTGTAAAGGGTGCCCAGGCTGGTGGGTCAGGTGGGCTCAGTGGTACCCCAGTTCCAAGTGGCACCCTAGGGAGAAGGGGAACCCGTCACACCAAGTGTCCTTTAACTCATGCAGCCTGGCATCAGTCTGCTCTGAAAAAAGAGACTATTCCCGTCGAATGGGAGGTCCTGGATAGAGGTCTGCATCTTTTTGGACAGGCCGATGGTCTGAAGCCAGAAGCTGTGCTTCATGATCACTGCCGACGCAACCATCCTAGCTGCCGAGTCCGCTGCATCCCACACCATCTGGAGAGAGCACCTAGCCGCCGTGATGCCCTCCTCCACCAGGGTGCCAAATTCCTCGGCCAAACCCTGAGGGAGGGACTCCTTGAATTTATGGAGGGAGTCCCATAAGTTAAAATTGTACCTGCCCAAGAAGGCCTTATGGTTCACCACCCGGAATTGCAGGCTGGCTGTTGAATAAATATTTCTCCCCAAAAGGTCTAGTCTTTTGGCCTCTTTATTTTTGGGCGTTGAACTGGTGTGCCCCTGCTTGTCCTTCTCGTTGGCCGCAGAGACAACTAGTGAACCCGGAAGTGGGTGGGCATAAGGTATTCGAATCCTTTGGCCAGGACGAAGTACTTCTTT